GGAAGAATAAATGACAAGCAGGAGGATATATTACAGTGGTGCTACCTGGTCGAACCATGTAACAAGGCCGTTCATAAATCATAACCAAATGACTTGGACAACCTAACGGCTGAAATGCTGCTGCCTGTAGTCCCAATATCGACTTTTCCTCTTGCCCCTCTCTTAAATCATGAAATGTGGAATATAAATGACCTAATTATTTTAGCAGAGTGAAATTAAGGGTATTCCTTTTTATTGCTTCTTTCTAGCAGATGGTGGTCTTATCTTGCATAACAGAAGGATTAACAAAAAGAGTTTGGCAATTCAGGTATAGAATCCTGATCAAATGTTTAATATGTTGAAATGACTAGTGGAGGAATGTATTCTCATGGTGCAGTCAATGTCCTTGACAATGCCTGCCACGTGGCCTTTATTTAAGATGTGGACTATAAGAGTTATTTATCATTGAGTAAACACTGAAGTCCTCGTTCATTGTTATGTCTGACAAAAATCTACATTTAAAGTAAAATTGTTTGAGATAAATGCACTTACAGCTTGAACATCCCTCTTTCCGTCCTCCTTGTCATACCATCTAAAGCTGAACTGAAGACTTTGAAGCTTTCTCTGTGCTGTTATAGCACACAGCCTTCAGGGCTATTGAGACAACCACTCCCCACCACTGCCGTCCCATTAAACTCCACTGCAGCAGGAAGCTCAGCAGCATCTCTGGACTAGCGATCTATAGATCTGCTGAGAGATAGTGCTGCATTATACAAGTGCTACTTCTGGTCAGAGCAAAGGGGCATCTGAAACTTTCATTAGAAATTGTTTGCACGCCCTTGGTCCTTTTGAGCTTTCCTCTGCTAATTATCGAGACCAGCCCCGAGCCCAAAGCAAAAGGCAGCTGTGAATGAGTGAGTCACACCATCCAGAAATACAAGCAGCAGGCGTGCACGAGGAGCTCCGCAGGGCTTGTGTTCACAACAGGACCGTTGAGCTGAATAAGACGTCTTTTTATTTTACCTCTGACGTGCGAATCGGAGGGAGCGCTTCTCTTCAGGGTAATGTTTGTTTGCCTTTAAAGTTCAAATTAAGACGCAGCATTAACTTTGTTATTCACGCATTATCATTTCGCACACCTTTGCCTACCCTTCATTTATTTCTCTGTTTTTTTTATGGTTTTGCTCTTTTTAACCTTCATGTTCTATATCCAAAATCATTTTTTCCACTTTTATCTCAAATATGTTTTTTTAGATGCATGAGCACTTCATAAAAAAGCTTATTTTTGTCTCTCTCTATAAAACCCTTTTAAGCATCTTAAGACATTGAAAGCCCAAAAGCACTTGACTGCAATGAAATGTATTATTATTATGACTAACGCTGAGGATATGTCTCCATGGAGCTCAATTGTTAGTCTGCACAGCCTCTTGGTGTATTATTCAGTTCAGCTCTCCCTCACCAAGAAAGTAAGTCTGTTACCTAAGATGGAAAGAGATGGTCAGCTGCTCTGTTTTACCACCCACTGTCTGGTAACGCCATTGGTCCAAACAAAATGGTCCATCGCCCTGATTGTGCAGCAGCTCTTATAGCTGTAACATGCAGAGCTAAATGTGAAACACCATTTAAAATGTGTTCTGGGCCTTTTTGTGCTGTAAAAGCACAGGTCATAGCTCCAAAATTCACGGTTGAAACCCGTGTCTTTGTGTAAAAAGTTGTTTTTCTCTGTTAAAAAGAAGCTGAGAATTTGTTTACTGATTTTTTTTTAAATGTTATTATTAAAAGGTTTGTGTGGAAAATGTTATGCTAAAGAGCTCAAACCACACAGAGCGTCCGCCATTTTGAGAACTGAAAAACAGGAAGAACAGCCCATGTCACGTCAAGGGGCCTCCCTCCCATTTTTCTTAGAGACATGCTGCTCGCTCCCTCACTATCCATCCTTCGGTTCAAACAGTTTTATACTGCCATCCGGTGGTCGAAAATAGGTACTACACTCAAAACAAATTAACCAACATTTTTTTCTTAAATGTATATATAATTATTGTCAAATTTCAAACATGATTATCTTTTATCACAATAATTTCTGAGACAATGAATTGGCCAGCAAACTTTATTGTGGCAGGACTAATCATTTCCCCACCATCAATACTTTAACACAAGTTCAACTCAAATTCTCAAAGACGGGCTCTTGCCAAGGAAGGGAAAGTGAAAACTGAGCCATTAAATTGAACAAATAGCAGAAACAAAAACAACAAAAAATTAAATGTCTGACTGTGCAGCTGTGCTTGAAAATGTATTTTTCATGTTCTGTATTGCCTAAAAACTTAAAATATTCATAGTTTGAAAACAATAACATTTAAAAACTTTACCCATTGAACTATTTGCATGCATAAGTTTGTTATCCTAAGGGGGTTCCCACTTTTCTGACAGTATCAGACATCTTGATTTAGATGATGTTGATCTAGTTTAGAAGTTATTCAACCAGACCCAGTTGCTACAAATATGCCACATCATGATACTACCACCACAGATGGGCTTATTGTTTTTTAAATGGATTTGCCCCCACCCCCAACAGCTTTCTGGTAGGTTTGTATGAAATTTACATTGTTGTTTTAAGTTCTTTTTATAGTGGACTATGAATTTAATACATCTTGAAAAAGGCTTTTAGTTGCTGAGAGGTCATCATTTAAACCAGCCACTAGGGGGCACAAGCCAGTGTACCTCTTGTACTAGTCCCAAGCCTGAGTAAATGTTGCGAGTTCATCTAAGCGACACCATACCGGATCAGTCGAGGCCTGGGTTAACACGACCGACCGCCAACCAATGCTGTTGACAAACAGGGTGCTGGCAGAAATTGGGCTACTGTTAGTCGAAGACCACGAGGAGGGAAATGTAGTATGGTCTGGAGACAGTGGCACTGACAAAAATACAGGAGAAAGAACCGGAATTGGCAGAAATGGAGATGTTGAGGTTCTCCTTAGGAGTGACAATGATGGATAAGATTAGGAATGAGATCATCAGAGGTACAACACAGGTTGAACAACTGGGAGATAAAGTTAGAGAGGCCAGACTGAGATGGTTTGGACATGTCCAGAGGAGGAACAGTGTATTGGTAGAAGGATATTAAAAATGCTGCTACCAGGAAAAGGACGAAGAGGAGATATATGGGTGGAGGTAGTGGAGTGAGGACGGATGATGTAGAGGATGGAGTGAGATGGAGGAGCTGTGGTGACCCCTGAAGAGGGAAAAGATGAAAGAAGTTGCTGAGAGGTCCTCGTGGATTATTATTATTATTATTATTATTTTTTTTTACCTTGAAGTATTTTACACATCATGTTATTGGCAGGATCTTTGTTGGTCAACCACTCCTAGAGAGGAGGACTGGAGTTTTTTTCTAACAGACTGACTATGGATACAATTCATTTTCTTTAAAGTTATGTTTTTCATTTTATTTTATTTTTTTCAAATATCCAAAGAAATCTCCTTTGTTCAGATTTGATTACACTTTTACAAATGTTGTGACCTTTGATTTATGTTGAATCCTATCTCAGCTCTTGCCTCTACCAGTAAGCCCTACTTCTATGTTTTGAGTGTTCACATCAAGCTATAGTGGTGTCCCAGTTCATTTTGTTATGCTGGATGAAAACTGAAGCAGAGGGGATATTTTTCAGGGGCACATATTTAAACAAAGGTTTGCAAAAAAACTCACAGTTGCATTTTCTCTGTTAAAAATGTATTTTCACAACAAGTTAAAATATTTTGCTGAATGTTCATCTCTAATGTCTTACATTTGATGCAAGTAGATCTTCCCAGCACAAAAATAACTGCATGCAAAATCTGGTGCAATCTGGATAACTAGTAATTGCAGGTCACAACTGTATACATAAAGTGAATTGGCAATAATGTGTGAAAAATGCCAAAGAGCTCAAACCACACAGAGTGTCTACCATTTTGAGAAGCCAAGAGAGAGAGCCCATGTCACGTCAAGGGGCCTCCCTCCCATTTTAAGGGACATGTTGCTCGCTCCCTTACTATCCATCTTTTTGTTCAGTTATATATAATTTAAAATATTTAAAATTAGGTACTACACACAAAATAAATGAACAAACATTTCTTCTTAAATTTGACAAGTTATTAATTATTGTAAAATTTCAAACAATATTATCGTTTATCTCAATAATCTCAGAGATAATTGCCCAGCAAAATTTGTTATCGTGACAGGCCTATCAAGGGGTAGGATTAACATTAAGTAACCCTAAAATATGGTTCTGATTAAATCTGATGCAGGTGTGGGGATGGATCAGACCAATGAGGGCTAGCTTAGTTTGGGATTTCTGCTATTTCTGCTTGGTTAAATTGACTACATTCTTTGCTTAGTGCATACATCAGTTAGAAATATGTTTGTTTCTGAACTTCACAAAATTAAGGATTTAGAGGAACTAGTTGTTTGCTCCAACCTTGAATGTGTTAAAAACAGTTCAGTCTTTTATTAAAGTAGAATGTTAGCTTTTAATGAGCCTATCACTGGATCTGTTTGTATTCGTTCTGTATTAGTTTGTCACTCAGTGGAACTGATAAAGCTCTATTGACAGAAACAGCATGAGGAAGAAATGCGGCACTATCGTGAGTCAGGTTTGTGGGTATTAAGGAACTCCCTGGTGATGCAGCGACTGAGAGGCTCAGTTTCTATGGTCCATGCACAGGTGTTACTGTGGCAACTGGAGCCAACCGACTATCCAGCCATGCTGCGTCACTCTATTTCCTGCCTCTCATTTTTGTTTTAACCCAGTGAGATGATCGCTCTCATTCTCTCTCTTTGTCTTGTTTCCATCTTTTTGGCCATTTAGCAGGTAAGCATTCTTCTCCACGCTTTGTATTCTCTTGTTCATCACACCTGTCTGCTCTTTCATGCTTCATTTTCCCCCCTCATTTCTACGAGCACACTCTTCAGTCCATTTTCAAGGTTTTTGCTAACCCTCCTGCTGTGATTTTCTCTTTGTGTGTGTGTGTGTGCGTGCATGTAGGTGGACGTGGGAATAGTTCACTTCACCCCACTGGTTCAGCCTCAGATTCAACAGCCCTTCAAGCTGGTGGAGAAAGTCGTCAGGAACCTTTTCCAGTTCCGTAGGAAGCACTGCTACAAAGGACTAGAGTAAGCACAAGCATAACTTGATGTGACTAGCAAGGCCTCTATCTTCAATTTCTCTCTTATTTTTGAATCTTGACACATCTTTCATTCTCTCTCTGCATTTTTTATTCTGCTGTCTGACAGCAGTGTCTTCATCTCATCAGTAATTAGAGTGGCTTTTGATTGGCTTTTCCCCCCCGTCTGTCAAATCACAACACAGCTTTCGAGACTTTTTGTAACCAAATTCTTAACAGTGAAGCAACTTCAGAGCTCGGTTCAAAAGCACTAGCTACATATCCTCTCATCCACACTCATGTGATGACTGCCCATCGCCCCCATGCTTGATCTGGAAGCGTATGTAGGCCCGGGTAACAAAAGAACGCAGGCTGTGTGAAAGAGAGCAGCAATTATGAGTCACTGAGGTGGCACAGAAAGACGAAGCTGCACACTTTACATAACGGCAGTAGGTTGGCGGCACCGGCACCAAATTTGGAGGCAGCGTTGGTGTTGAAGCACCTAAAAGCATCTGTAATTCAAAGGGTGTGGAAGTGGCAAACCTACTTAAAAATTAAAGACCTAGCACTCCTTAAAGGAATGCATGTTGCTTGCTGCTTTTCATGCCAGAGCTTTAAACTTAGATAGATAATCTTGTCTTGTACTGAGACATAGAGTTGTTTTGGTCAAACCTTGAAAATAACTAGGTTTGTGGCAGCCATCTTGAACTGGGCTGTCTCCAAATTAAAGCGATATTGCAAGATGTTGCTCTCAGAGGATGTGTTGTGAATCACCCTCAGCTACTACCATCTCAAATTTCAGCTCAACATCTATAAAATTAATTCAATAGTTAGACATTTTTCATTTACTAGTGTCAAGTTGTTGCAGCCGTCTTGACCTGGACTGACTCCAAAAGTTATCAACGTACATCCAATGATTACTTTCGGAAAATTTAATTGAAATCCATCTGGTGGTTCATGTGCTATTGTGATAAACTCATTGAGATGTGGGCCAAAATATTATTGTCTGTACCTTTTAGCCACATGCAGTCATTTACGTAGTTATTCATTTAGAATGGGAAATATCTTTTGAACATTTACTGACACCCCTTGACTACATAGCATGACGATGGAGCAAAATTAACAATTCATGAGCAGCTTTTTGTGTAATTTCAATTAAGATTTCAGATTTGAAAGAACTGCCGAGAGATAATTTCGTTCTGTTTGAACTTTCTGATGCCATTAAAATTGCATGCATCATTAAGTTATTAAAGCGACCTGAATGTAGAAATGGGTACCATCGACTCTTCTCACATCTCGCACTGCAGAAAGTTGTTTCCTGAGGAGTGTCGTGCAGAGCTGACGCAGGAGTTGATGCAGAGGGCGGACGTGGACCCAGTTCTGCGACCCACAGAACTCACCATACCACATATACGGGCTTTATCGGAGGCCTACGCTCATCTCTGCGCCCGTGAACCCAGTTTCTTCAGCTACGAGTTCAGAGAGGACCTCAGACTGAAGCACCTAGGCATGGATAAACAAATGCCAGTGGATTCGCTCAAGGATTCAACCTAGAGTTTTCCTCAACTGGGTTGAGGAAAACTATTGTAGGTGGGCAGAAGCAAAAAACGGATAAAACCACGAGAAACCCATTAATAGACTCTTAGCAAATGGAGACAACACATTGCTCTTAGCTTTGACATTTCCACCTGGCATAGACATGCATTTTTAAACATTCTTCCTGCACCCTGGGAGAAATAAGCAATTTGAAATACATGAATAGTGTAACAGCACAATTTTCTTGGATGCGACATTTGTGTTTTTGGAAAAGGGAAAGAAAGCCGCCCCTCACTAGCTCCTGGCGAGTAAGTATTTCTTTATGTCCCAATTCTTTCTTCATTTCCATCCAACACCTTGTCCTGTGGGACCTGAAAGAAATGTCAGTGCTTTCAGGATGATTTAGAGAACGAGAACATGGCAGCGCCACATCCAGGACGTTTTTTTTTTCTTTTCAAGTGCGTATTGCTTAATCACTAGGGAGACTGAGCTTTTAAAAAAGGGGGTAGAGAAACTGCTGTGAATTTGTCAGCTTAAATGAAAGACTGTTAAATTAAAAAAAAAATGTTTCAAACCTTTTTTCTAACACTATGTCCATTGTACTTTTATTTAATGAGATTATCTTGGCTTTACGTGTTTCTCTTCTGCTGTTCCTATTCATCCAAATGAGCTCAATGCTGTCGAGCTGTAAATGAAACAAATAACGAAAGTGAGTTTTAAACTAGAAATATTATTGTATTAAGACTTTTAAACCTGTGAATAAATATGAACCTGTTTATTGTTTGATTCGATAAATCTTCCTCTTTGAATATTAGAAGAGATTGTCACCAGCAGAACGCGGTAGCGCTGCTCCCTGCCAGTGCGACAGATGGTATGTTTGGGTCCACTTGCCAGAGGGAGACTTCACTCAGTTTCAATGAGAGGTGGGTGATAATCTTTCAGCAATCGAGAATCTACACGTCAGACATGCAGGAGCAATGTGTCGCGTTTTGCAGCTCACCCTAAAAGAAAGCCGGAGATGTCTGTTGCTATGTAAAGCTTTTATTTTGGTAGATGAAAGGACATTTTAATGGTGAGAAATTATCTCGTGCGGTGATGAGCAGCAGGGTAGTTCTGCTCTAATGAGGTATGGTTGTGCAGAAATGTCTTCGGAGTTCGCAGTATATTTCATTTTTTAATCTATGCTGGGTCTGGTTCTAACATTGTAAATCTGCAGCTTGACTGTTTGATATCTGAAACATAGATCTGAGCTATCAAAACAAGTTATTCATTCATTTTTTACTATTAACATTTGATATCAGCTCATGAAGACTTTTGTACAGCAGGACTAACGGAATCCACAAACACATTGACTCAAAGAAAAGTCAGGCAGATTTTATTTCCAACTTCATTATTTGAAAAGTAAGATAAAACAAGATAGAGCTTTATTGATCCTGCAGGAAATAAGCTTCAATATCACTGTTTTGTGGCCATTTAGTCTCTTGTCTGGTTGATTTTTTTTTTATTTATCAGTTTGGCTACTGTATATATTTTATATTGGGTTATTTTTACATAAAGATGTAATTTTTCCTTTTTATAAGGATTTTTTGATTCCACGATTCTTTGAATAGTTGCCCCTTTGGTCAACCGTCTTTGCCAAAAGCAATAGCTGTTGACAATAAGATGGTGAGAAAGTGTCATGAAATAGAAATGGCTTCTCTGACAGCTCCTGTCATGCGCTGGCTGCAGCATTTGAAAACCTCTTCAAACTCAACGATTGGCTTCAGGCTGCTTTCACACAGCAGGAAACGCACTTTGCCATAACTGTACCGCTGCAGCACCAAAGCCTGTTTTTAACACAAAGCCACAGTCCTGCCTCAGCTCTGACAGAAGTAATCTGCAAAAATGTTCAGTCAGGTTTTGGGAATAACTTAAGATTTAAATTTGAAAGGAATTTCAATATTGTTGAAAAAAAATCCAGAGTTTTTATTTTCAGTCTTTTGTTGTCACAAATTTGAGCAAACTTTAGATTCTAATAATTTGTGCCTCCTCTAATTTTTCATGTGTCTGGGCAAACACACAAGCTCCCTGAGCGCACCGAGGACCACTGTGAGCAACATCAGATGTGCACGCTGTGGTCATACACTAGTATCACACCTCTTCAAAACCTAGCATAGCAAGTTACATGGCTAATTAAAAGAATCAAATTACAGGAGCAATGTCCATTAGTTTACTTTTAATGAGTGATTTGACTCACTTAAAGTGAAAAAGACAATAATCTTGTTCATGAGATGTGTAGTGTTATATGCGTGTCCTGCTTTTGTCTGGGTGGGGGTCCAGCTGTGGCCTTGGTGAGGGTCCTGCTATGAAAGATGGGTAGGGGAGGGGGTCTTGTTCCACTCCCTGAAAATCTCTGATCTGAAAACAGAGGGTTATGGAACCTGGAAGTACATTTTATTAAATGTTTTCATGTAGCTGTAGCAACCAAATACAAAAATGTGGCTTGCTCTATTCACATAAGGAGAGCTGTTGGTCAGGCTACTTCTTGTTGATTCAAAACAAAAACTATATAGCGTTAATGGTACAAGTGTCTACTTGTGTAGGTAAAACTAAATGTTTAATAACCCGTTAAAATACACTAGAATGCAGGAAATGGCATCTACTACTCATTATTCGTCATTCACACCAACATCAGCTGGATTACATTAGTCATCAGCTCTGGAGAAACTAAAACATCTCATCTACTGATGCTGTAAAAAAAAAAAGTAATTTACGTATTTTGGTCATGCTTTCAAGTCCAAAGAACTTGGCTTGTTCTACATCTAATTTTAAATTAAACCCAACCATCGTCTGGTCCGTCTTACCTGATTTAACCAACATTTTGTGACAAAAGTAACTACTCGTCTTAAAAAGCACTCCACCCCACTCCGGTTTAGTTTGGCAACTGGAAGTTCAAGAGATTATTAGGTCTTTGGTTGTTGAGTGGATTTTCTTAGATAACATGTCAACAATAAGAACTTTTTACTAAAAACCTCAGTCACTATAATCTTTTGACACTATTGACTAGAGCAGACTACAGGTCATCAGATCCATTAATGGGTACCAGCCTGAACCAACCAGTCCAAACATCATAAATCTTGGATGGAAGATTGGTTTTATTGTAGGAGCGATTCTAGGATCTGACCTTTTGGGGTGCTTAGCCCCCCCCCCTCCCCGACAATGGCTCTTGGCTTCAACAACGCACCCCATAGTGTTGTTTGTGAGAAGAGCAAAGGATCACAGCACCTGGTATTCTCAGGCGGTCTCCTATCCAAATACTAGCCAGGCCTGACCCTGTTTATCTTCTGAGATCAGGAGTGTTCAGGGTGATATGGCCTTAAACGAGGAGCTCAGTCACAAATAGGACTTTTAAAGAATCATTTTACCCAAAGACTAAACTTACGCAGCAAGAAGTTTCCACATATATCTGCATACAAATCACACAAAACAAAGCACAACTAGTTTTAATTTAACCGTTAAGCATATGATGTAATTGTGACAAACATTTTAGGAGGAAAAGCAAATCATTTCACATATTAAATTACAGCCCCATCAGCACAAGTCGCACGCTCTTAAAATGAGGTTGAAGCCATTTTGTCGTTTGGATGCAGAGGATGTGGGAAAATGATTGAAAGTGCTCGGCTTAAAAATAGAAAACTGATTGTCTTTGTGGAAATGCCTAACTCGATCTAGCAACAACAAATTTCCCAGAACATGGATTACATTTTACGTGTACAAAATCCATGTACCAAAGTAAAGCCTTTCTCACTCTTTATCATTTTCTGTGCCCCATTTCTGTCACATAATTACAAATTCTATTGAGAATTTACCTTTTTGCTTCCAACGCAGGATGTAGAATCCTGCATTTTTTTATGTCAGCCAATCAGGGACCATCCATCCATCAAGTCTAACCCTGGGACCGCGCCTCAGATAAGATTCTTATTTCCCAGAACTGCTTTATCCGTCAATGAGCTATAAAGAAGAGGCACAACTGAAGGCACTGTTCTCCAGATGCCATTCAAAGATGAAGCTTTTATTTAGAAAACAGTTCCACAAGAATAGAGCATTCACATTCATTGGTATACTAGCATTAAAGGCATGGTAAAATGAGCTGAGAAGTAGCGGTTTGCCTTTTTACAGTACGGCAAACTGTTTCTACAAAAATATTCGCTGTTTATTGCAAATTCCTGCCTCGTTAAACTGTACAGTGTCAGGCATGCATGATTATACATGAATGTTAGAAAAATATGTATATAAATCACACAAACATAATCGCATGAATTCAAACATTTTTGCAGTTTAAATAACTCCAATGAAAACACTGGAAATTACAGTCTTCAGTGAAAACAACCTAACCCAGGTGGCAACATTGAAAATAAAGAAAAAAAATACACTAATATTTTTTCAAGATTAGACCAAATGTGAAGCCAAGAATTCAAACGTTCCACCCAAAATGTTTGCAGCTAAATGTATACATAATCAGTCCTAGAAATAAATAAACAGCAGTAATAACGTGATGCCCTGCTCACCAAATACAGCTAAAAGGCTCCGTTGTGAGTTAGTCTTCTTCCTGATAATTTGGGCCAAGTCGTCTGTCTTGACCTTTGCAGCTCTCTATGATCACCTTTCAGTTTTAACGAAGGCTGCACAGTATTTCGAAACCTAAAATTACTGCAATTTCAGCATTGTAAATAATTACAAGTAAACATATGGAGCCCCTAAATGCCCAAAGCCAATTTGGTTATTGACCTAAATGTTAAAGCACATGTTGTTGGCATCACGACAGAGGAAAATATATATATTTTTACAGGAGATATTGTCATCGCAGTATTTAACAATATCGCAATTGCATGTTTTCCTAAAATTGTGCAGCCATAAAACCAAATTTGAGCTACCTTCTGTTGTTTGGTTAGGTTTAACTAAATAAATTTGCAGATATGAACAGGCAAGCAGTGCTAAAATAACTGCAGTGCCTGCCTGAGAAATCTGATTTGTCTCAGTGTCCCATGTATACACTGGACTTCAGCCCCTTTCTCAGCACTTGGGACATTTGTGACTGACAGGGAGGGACATTCTCACCATTTTTTCACAGAAAAGGTCAAGAGTCGAATAAAACCTGCCACTCAACGAGCTGTTGTGGGAATGCGATAGAATATTTTGGGAGATGTTTTTAGATACGGCAAAGCCCGAGAGCCGAAGAGCTTGCACATTTACATCAGTGCTTGGCAGATTTATTGCAGTCGTCAATGGGACAGAAATCACCTCGCTGCACCACTGTAGAAAAAGAAACCAGATCTCTCTGCCAAAAGATCTTTTACACCTAGCCTTTTGTAGGCAGGTGTCAGACTTAGACTTGTGGGTTTAGGCAAAGCTTCACAGCCATTCTGGCAATGACTACAGTTACCCACAAGGGTTCCCCCGCCTATGATGCTGGGATATTCGACAGCATCCTCACTGTTGTGACCTCTAATTTGTGCGTCATATACTGTACAGTTCTGTCTATGCTGGACCTTAGGAAGAGGTGGTATTTCCAGAGTTTGTGGTGCAGCTTTCAGCTGTATCAAAGAAGCAGTCTTCATTCACTACAGAAGTCAGACTTTGAATGCTGAACTCTCTTTCCAGAAGTGTGTTGAGATCCAACACTCCACATGATGATGTTGGATCCAGCTGACTGTCCAGTGACCTGTTCTGCTCCTTCATGTGCAACAGTGCACCCTGGCTCCTTCTCATACTACTGGATTTTCTCTTAACGGCACTGGAGTGTTGCCGTGCTGGCTTGTGTTGGATCTCTGGAGTGTCGCCCATTCCCTCCGGTTGAACACGTGGTGCCAAAGAGCATTTGGAAACGACGTCCTCGGAGAGGTGAAGCTGGAGGATCTGAGCTTCAATGGTGCTCGTTGGGGAATTACTGTCTCCACTATCCCTTCTCGGGGCTGCCTCACTAAAACCATCATCGTCCTCGTCACTTAAAATGTCAGACTCTTTCACACAGCGAGGTTTTGAGCCGAACACGTTAGGTGGAGACCAGTTTTGTGAGTCAGAAGAGGTTAAAACAGGAGGAGCCCCAGAAAAACTGTATGTTCCACTGCTTAAGCTGCCCTCGTCGGAGTCTGGCCCCAACTTGGGATTCCCACCCAGGGAAGAAACGTCTTCAAAAGGCTGCCTACACAACCAGGAAGCTCTGGAAGAACCTGATAACAAAAGATAAAGACAGAAGTCATTATCACAATAAAAACACATGTATGGTTACACATTATGACAGTTTAACTGCAAGATAAAGTCATAAATATTGAGAATGAGTCTGAGCTCACCTAGCTTGGCAGAAGAGGGCAGAGTCTTGCACATGGGGGCCAAGCGCTCCTTACAGCTCCTCTCCAATGTTCCTTCATTCTTCGTGTTCCTCCTCATGTTCTCCCTGAGGAGGGAGCGGATAACCTTGATGACATCGATCTTGTTCTCTGGCACGCTAGGGAGAGAACATGCAACAGGCAAAAAGTTAAGACTTCTTTTCAGACTTAATATAGATTAGAAGGACTAGAGCAAGAATACTTTTGCTTGTGAGATGGTTGACTTATGAGTTTAGTCACAGGCTTCACTCATCACCGTCATAAAAATCTTTACTAAAAGCTAAATCTACAACAGACATAAACAAAACATTTCTTGTCACAGGTTGGCTTGACAAAAGTGTTGTTAGAGGTAGTGTTTCTTTGAGCTGTGACTGATGAGAAATTAGCAAATATTATTTGAGAGAGACTTTTGTAATATTATCAATGTTTGTGCAGGTTCTCAGTTTGCAGAGGCTCACATTCTTATTGCCTAAATTTCGAGCATGGTCAAAAAAAAATGTGCAACAAGTTTTTCTTTCAAAATAAGAGTTGTTACAGGTGTTTCAAACGCTTCTCAATTTTGTCAAAAGAGATCTCCAACCCATCTTAAAAATGCTAGAGCTATATTTTAAAACCTGCCTGAAAGACTGGCAGCCCCAAATGTTCAGTTTATAAAAAAAGTAAAAAAAAAAAAAAAAAAGGCACACCAATAATAATTATTAAATCACTCGTCCAAATCTGCCTATTTTCATTTCTCACTGGTCAAATAGTGGCAAATACTTCAAATTCAGAGGCAGCTACTGAAAATGTGCCTTTTTTCTTAGAATTTTGTAATCACCATATATGTGGCATTTTGTGGGAATGCCTAAGTTGATCAAGCGGTAACAAATTTGTACAAATGGGTTCCGTACATGTGAAATTTAGTCAATTTAATCTATATATATATATATATATATATATATATATATATATATATATATATATATAATTAATAAAATAGTTGTTAGATGTTACATTAAACCTTTATATGATTCCCAAGCACAGCAACCTTTTAAGCAAATTTTTTTTTTTTTCTTTTTTACAGATTTATACGTCTTTACATTTTGGCCCTGGATTCATTAAAATTTTCAAGAAAATGTACAAAATGCACAGTCTGACCTTTTCATTCAGTAGTGACATTAAACACCTGAAAGTTGAATTTCTGACCTGCTACACAACTGGAAGATCATCTCTGGTCTGCCTTCCACTTCAGACCTGGAGTGAATCAGCTCCCAGATGCAGCTGCTCTCTGTGCCTGTTCCAGGGAGAGCAAAGAAATTTAGCTTTTAATCACGTAGTCCAAATATGGTGCACGCTTTCAGGAGATGATGAGAAAGGTGGGAGTTTCAACAGAAATGTCAGAAGAATGGCGAGTTTTGGGAATTATGGAGAGGATAAAATGCTATTTTACCTGCAGTATTTCCCAGCCTGGCCTGCAGTGCAGAGAGCGGGATGAGCCGTCGGAATTTAAACGGGTCAGAATCTCCCTGAGAAAGTGCAGAACGAGGGTTTGTCTGGTGATTGAGCAGCGGCAGAACAAAAAGGAGAAATGCTGTTTATTTGCATCAAATGCACAATTGGTGTGGTGAGAAAGAACAACAGATACATCTCTTACCATCTTCTTCTTGAGCTTGTTATTTTCCCGGTAGACCAATATCACTGCTTTTTTGAAAACTGGTGAGAAAGAGAGAGAAACAAAAACACATCTTAGTTCTGACTGTGGATGCCTCCTGGGAAAAATCGAGTGAAGGAGTGCAACCCACAGAAAGAAGTATTGCAGATGCCAGTTTGAAGCCTTAAAGCATAAATCAGTGTTACAGCTACAGATATTTAAACTCGGTTCTGCTCACACGCAGCCGTGCAGCTCTTTTAACAAATCCACTTCACTTGTTCCACACTGAATACACACTACTCTGCAAACATCCATGACTGGCGTGCTGCGAGACTCACCAAACACAGTAATTTCAGGATCTTTTCTCAAGCGGCCCAGCGACGGATGAGGGTTGAGCCAAACTGCTGAGGAATGCATGAGAAACTCTCCCATGGAAATCTCTCTGACCTGACGAGGACACAGGAGACAGCAGATGGGTTCAAATGACCGGAGGACAAGCTTTTTGTGGAAACATACACAGGCCGATTTAAAGGGGAAACCTTCATATGATCTTTAAAAGCTGTGCAACTACTGTGAAAACAGTTCTCTTGACAATATTTAGCATTCACTTTGAATATTTAGACTGCAGTAGTTTCCAAATAAATATTCGATCAACCTGGAAATGTCTGTTCCCTAGAGGCTATACACACGAGCTAAACATCACGATCAAATGTTTTCGAGTTTTAGTCCAAACTATATATCAAACGCTTTGAAAGTCATGGTAATCTGGTTTGAAAATGCATAATCCACCTCTTTATCGTGGCCGTTCTGCTCAGCCACTAGCTGATCGAACACAGAGCCGTAATCCTCGTAGATCTTCTGCATCTCGTTGATGTGGCTCGCCACCTTCTCCATGGCCTTCAGCGCCTCTGCAAGGTCAAACAGTAAGAATCAGGACTTTAAATTAGAGAAAACAGATTTGACTGTATTTTAAAGTCTGTTTCTGTACTTACCGGTGAGGTGGTAGTGCTCCTCACTGTCTGCATCAGTAAGGGAGACCAGCTCCCTCAGCAGCAGGGGGTACTTTAGCACCCTCTGCACCGGTTTAATCAGGTACGACTCCAGCGTGGACGAGTGCTGCTTTGTAGGGTTCCTTGTGTCCAGAAATTCTTTAAAGGCCTGATCGGTCTTAGCTTTAAAAAACAGACATGAAAACTATTAATTTTTTTTTTTCAATGTACCATTCTTTCTTTTATAGGTTGGTCTTCTGATGTCTTTATGAAACTAATTAAAATCAATCTGTGCCAGTGCAGGATCATGGTGCAATAACCTCTCCAGCAGGGGGAAGTGTGAGCCTCTCCTCTATCTGCAGGATGAAACACCACCGACTGAATCCACTCTGATCATCGCTTTAGATCAATGTTAATAGTAAAACAAATATTTAAAATAATATCAGCTTGCTGAGTTGTTGTGTAAACTGATCGTATTTGCTGAAGTAATCAAGTTAGAGTTTCTTAGTTTACGCTGATGTAGACAAAAAAAAAATAGACATACTGCATAACAGGTCTTGTGTAAAAGTGGTGGCATTTTCTCTCAGCAGTACACTTACAGAGGGGGGCCGTTACAACATTAATTATAACACTTCCAGCAGCAGACAAGCAGCTGCATCGGCACCTCCCTGAGTAATTGGCAGGCAATTAACAAGTCGAAATATAAACAGAGAAACTGAGGATACTCATAAAGTGGAGGCGAGGGTGCCGAGATTACACTGGGGGGGAATATAATTACCTAAAGGCTTTATAAACACCTGGTTATGATCAGGTTGTCCAGGGTGTCATCTGTCCTGTGCAATTTTTGTGGCACCTGTTGTAATATTAGTTTGCATGCACCAGCAATAAACAGTGCAACTCCAGATTTCATGCTTCAATCCCAGTATGGCATCTAGCTTTTTTCACACTCGCCATACATTTGGAGATATTTTTGTGCCATACTGACACTGACCACAAAGACAACAACCCTAATTCTGAAAAAGATGAGATGTGTAAAATGGAAATTTGAACAGAATTTGCTCATCTCAAACCCATATTTTAGTCACAGTTGAACAAATTATGTATTTAATGTTTAAACAAAAAATTTGACAATTTTTAGAGGAAAAATGTGAGAATTTTAAATTTGATGGCAACAAAATCACCCCAAAAAATTCAATCGTGTTTATCACTGTGTAGCATCCGCTCTTCAACAACAATCTGCAAATGTTGAATCTCAAGGTTCTAGTATTGCGCTGCTCAAGGTGGCTGCATGTTGCAGTAGCTCTCTTACATGAATACAGAGATTTTGCTTTTGAAAACTTTGTCCTCTTTTTTTGGACGTAAATGGCTTTTTTTTCAGATGATTACTTCCTCTGGTATCAGATGACGTGCCGCTAGAAGGATTTTTACTGAAACCTTTTTTACTTTTGGACATTTGTTATGATGTGTAACCATAACAACAAGGTGGTTTTCTACAACCGGGAGCAGCTGATTAACATTTCAAAAGCTCAAATAATACCTCAACTACAGCCCCAAATCCTAAATGAGTTCAAAAGGAGGCGCCGTGGATGCATTCCCATCTACCTGGAGGCGGTGCTTGAGTGTCTGATTGCCGAGATCTTGGAGGTGGCGGAAAACGCAGCTCATGGCAGCAGGAGGGCCGAGATCGTACCCCGGCACCTGCAGTTAAGTCTATGGCAATGAGGGGCACAGCATGCTGCTGGGAGAAATGGCCATCGCTCGGGGAGGAGTTGTGCCCGGCGTTCAGGTAATCCTGCTGCCCAAGAGGACCGAGAGGTCTGCTGGGTCTGGGTGGACGGATCAGACGGATCACAGCCAGTTTCTTCGGATCCGCTGTGGGACGGACTGCTACAAGAGATCCTTCCTGCCCACAGCCATCAGCATCTTTAACAACTCTAATAAACCAGGATGATGAGCTACAACAACATTTAATTTCCCTTTGGGATTAATAAAGTACTTCTGAATTGAATTGAATTGAAACATCCAGGACCTGAGGAGACCAGTATTTAGCGTTTTTGGAGGGGAATGTCTTATTTTTGTCTGATGTAGGATTTTAACGTTTCTGGATTTTTCAATAGCGTTGGTCAGGGTTGCAGCTGAAATCCTGTGCAATACATGGCGAATCAATGGCATGCACTGCTAGTCCCCTGCATTGTAGCCAATGCTTGAGCTGTGTATCATTGTATCCTTCAATATATTCCAAGTCGGTTTTGGCCCCAGGAACGTCGTCTTCCTTTAGGTTGACATGAACAAAAGCATTTGACGAAGACATTAAGGTTAGGCATCATTTGAATTTGAACGATTCGGTTCTGATTCAGATTCTTCGATTCGATTTCGGCTCCTACGGATACCCGATTCAGATTCTTTTTTAGAGGCAGGGTTAAAAAAAAAAAAAGTCGCATGTTATAAATGAGCTTGCAAGCCAAAGTTTTTTCTGGATTAAATAATTTGAACTTTTAAATATTAATTCTATGAACTTTTTATTTTTTAACTTTACTATGAATTTCTCACAGGGCTATTTTCAACCAGTATATAAATATCAAACTTATGAACTTTAATATAAATGTTTTTTATTTTTTTACTGGGGTACACTTTCACAAGAGCTTTATTTTTGAAAACCTCATGAAAACACATTTCCACATGTCCAGTGTCTGATGCTGCAGCCATGTTATACATGCAGGCTGCTGCCTTGTTTGCCTGACATTCGGGACTTTGGGGATTCCCCACAATTCCTGACATCATCTCTGATCAACGCTATTCATGATGCACCCCTATATAATCAGAGAGGCAGGCTTTTCTACTGTGTGATTAAAAACTGACTGGTTGTTCCCTCTTCTTTAATGTATAGAAAACATTTATTACTATGTATCACTGTAAAAAAAATAAAAATGCATTCGAGATTTTCAAATGATTGTACCCCCCCCCC